AAAAATTATTTTTATGAGAGTTCTTAAGTCTTGAAAGTAAAGTTCATAAGATCCGAAGTTTGAAAAATCTGCATATATTTTTTAATTAGATGGGAAAACAAATTTCCTAGTTTGACGATAAATATTTTAGACCCTGGGCTAGTCGGATTCACTAGAAGTTCTTCTAATTTGAACTATCAACATTTTTGGAACAAAATTTTAGCAATTCTAAAGGATGACCCATTAACTCTAATTTACATAAATTATTTTAAAAATGTAGTATTACTTAAGGACAAGTAATGTTTAAGTTTAGGGGATTTTGATACACCTAAAAATGTACTATTTTTCATGCTTCATTTTATAATGATATTGCACTTTAAAGGCATCTTTTCTTGTGTTTTTGGTTGTAGGTACATCAAATTGAAGAATTTGGAGTAATTGGAGCAAAAGAAACAAAAATGAACCAAAATGGAGCAAATCGGAGCAAATTGGGTCGAATCGAGGCACACTGGGTCCATGGGGACCAAAACTTGGCACTTAAGTGCCTGTGCTTGGCGCTTAAGCGCCCAAATATGGCACTTAGGTGCCATCAGACAGGGAGGGGGGCGCTTAGGCGCCAAATACGGTTTTCAACATATCTTCTAGAATATACATCGGAATCGGTTAGAATATACATCGGAATTGGACAATTTTTGAAGCGTTGCTTCATGCTTCTCTTAATCGGACAATTTTTGAAGCGTTGCTTCATGCTTCTCTTAGGAAATTCATTGCAAATGAGAAAAAAGGACTTTCTAGAATAATTTGGGGCAGTTATATGGAGTTATGAAGAGTCACTTTAGACACTATTTGGAAGATTCAATGAATATGGACAATTTTGAAGAGACACTTAAGAAGCTTTTGGGAAATTAGAAATAAGGCTTGGAAATGCTTTTAAAAGAACTCTTGGACTCTCGAATCAATTAGAAGAAGATCAATTAGAAGAAGAGAAGAAGGCTTGGGCGTGAGCCCCAAGTGAGGCAAAAAGGTGAGAGAGAAAGAGAGAGTGAGAATTTCTTCAGAGTGATAAAGAGAGAATGAAAGAAGAGAGAACTAGTGAGTGAGAAAGAGAGAGACAAAAGGCATGCGAGAGATAGGGTGAGATAGTGGGAGAGGGAGAGAGGGTTTTCAAAGTCTTGCTCAATAAAAAGTTCTTGTTGTTTCTCCATGTGTAGTGGGTGATTTTCCTTACGGTGATTTTCTTTACTCTTCCCTCTCATAATAAATTAGTATGCATGTGTAGGATATAGAATTGAGTAGAGTGAGAATATCTTGTGATGATTTTACTTTGTTCTTCATTTACATGTAAACTTGATCAACTTGCATGTTAAAATCTGTTGTGAGAATATGTAAGATCCGAGATGGTATTGTCTTAATCAACTGTGGTAGAATGATAGGAGATTGTATGGATGATAATGTAGTCTATATGGTTGAGTGCAAATAAATTGGGAAATAATCTTTAATAGGTGTAGAATTAGAGGACTTTAGAGTGATAGACTAAAGCCCCCTAATTTGATCTATTATTTTAGGTTTTGATGCGAGATGTTAGCCTCTAGGTGGAGGGATAAGAGAGAACTCTACAGTGAGCTAGTATCGTCCCTGCCTAGCCCGTCTTCAGAACTATTCAAACTTTAGATTAACCAATATTTTTTATAACATCTCTAGTAAGGGTAAATAATATAATTGCTCTTCTTTGTCATAATCTCTCTCACTACTTGTTTTACTTTTACACGTCATTATTTTCATTGCATGAGAAAGAGTACTTTTAATATATTAAACCCCACTTTTTGATTTTCACTAAGTATTTTAGATTAGGAGTAGAAGTATTATTATAGTGATAATTGTAGGATATAATCAAAATCTATTCTTTATCGACCTTCTAAGCTAGGGCGTGTTATTCTAGACTAGAACTTCTATTGAAAGCCGCCTTAATTAACCTCAATCTCCGTGGGATCGATATTCGGGGCTTAATCAGAAATCCCTATATTACTTGATAACAATACGTATACTTGCATAGAATTCCTACAAATATAATTGAAATCTTACTTTGTTTGGGATCAAGTTTGGGATCAAGTTTTTGGCTTCATTGCCGAGGATTAAAATTTTCAAGTAGTGGTGTCAACTTCATAAATCCTTATATATAAAAACATATCGGGATCAGAATTCTCCAGTCTAAGTGAGCCTAACAACTCAGTCAAGCTAATTAAATTCAGAAGAAAATAGTGATGGCAAAATAAGGGAACTGTGGGATCCTAACTGGTGTTGCTCTAATTAAATTAAAATGCACCTAAATAAGACATTTAAACAACAACAGCAACAAAATCAAAACATTGCACATACACTGCAAAACCGTGAAACCTTAAACCTTGGAACTGCTACTTGAACAAGGAGCTCAGAGCAAACAACGTGGAGAGTACGTTGAGGGTTTCCAAAAGAACATCTTCGAGAGAGCAAATGAGTCTACATCAACAAATCTTTCTTTAGAATCAAACAAAAAGCCTTGAGACTTTGAGGTAATACGTATAACACAGTGTAAATCCTCAGCCTATATTTATGCTCTTGCACAGTCATGCTGAGTAGTATAAATTTTAACTCTCTTTAGGCTCTAAGGTTGTCATTCGGTAAGACATAAGTCCACCTATCTTCCTAGGATATTTGCATGATCGATATCATGCAAATGTAAGCCCTAAATAATAAAATTGACTAGATGAAATAAATAATAATATCTCTTTGAAACTGAAGCCAAACCATAATAAATAATAATATCTCTTTGAAACTGAAGCCAAACCATAAGATAGTTTGAGAAGTCACCAAGATTCTTCTCAGGATCTATGGCATCCCCTACCTTTTTTTCCTTCGGATTCTACAATAACTGTTTCTATTTGATCCCTTCCCATTTCAATTTTTCATGTCCGACCTTGAAAGCTCTAAACGTTAAATTTGTGAAGACAAATACCTCTGATCTAAATCGAGAGTTTTCTTAGGTAACTTTGGTTGTCTGTGATGTAATTAACTATAGGGGTTTGCTCTTATAGGAAACTTTAGAACCAAGGTAATATAAACTTTATCTAATCTTTTATATTAGATAGGAGAACTTGTCGATCAACATAAATGTTCACAGATAGAAACAAATGTCATAAATTCTTTAGTTTATTTAATCGAGCATTGCTATTGAGTAATGTGTCTATTCATCGGGATAGGTGTATCACTCGTGGTGTTGTGCTCAATCAATTAAACTATTAAATATATGAGATTCATTTGGTCTCATTTTTCAAAAATAAAATGCAACTTTTCAAAATTTTATAAATTTATATTAAATTAAATTATATTCTTAAAGCAACCGACCAAAACTCTCAATTTGGCGACCGGCATATACCTTTAAAAGGTTTCAACCAATCCTAAAATTGAATTATTATGAATCTTAATTAATTTCAAAAAGTAATAAAAATCTTTAAACTTTAAAATGAACTTTATAAGAATTTTAAACAAAATTTAAAATAAAATTAAAAAAAAAATCAATTTCTCTTTAACAAATTAATTTTCAAAAGATTTATAATTCTCAACAAATCAATTTTAAGAATTTAAACACTATTTTCAAAATTTGCCAACCAATTTAGACAAAAACTGAACTTAAGTAACTCAAAATAAACTTTTAAAATAAAATTTGCTCAACAAATACAAGTTGCTCAGCTTAAGTAAAACTGATATTTATCCAATCTAATCATTTAGTTACAATCAAATCTTCAAATCCACATATTTGAGTTTTCAAAATCTATCATATCCCAAATAATTATTGATGATTAAGAAATGTATAAAACATTAATTGAGAGTATTCTCGTGAGTTAAGCTTGAGATATAATTAATTTTGAGGGAGCCCCCTCATATGGATATTAGACAACAAAATTAAATAAATCTTATCTTACAACAGTAAGGTAAGGAAAATTCCTGGTTTCATAGATCCATAAATGACAAAATTTTTCATCATTCAAGTATTTATATCCATTCAAATGCAATATTTTTATTATTCGGGGTTGTATATTATTCTTTGAATGTCATATCTGATCATTTATACATAAATTTTTCAAAATCTATGACAGTTGAACGATAAAAAATACCCACCAATGACGTCAATTTTTCACATAACACTTAGTTCAAATAGCCTTTGAGTGTGATTATAAAGCTTTTTATGAATTCTAATTGGCTAGCTAAGCTCAATTGAGTAACTGAAACTGTTGTTTGGGGGTTAGATAACATGCTTAAAACCAACCTAGCTGCAAAATTCATTACGATAGACCTAGTTAGCCAATTAAGTCTAGTTTGACATATGTATTTACCTAATTTAGTAGCTCCTTAGCTCCAAACTTAGCTTAATTTAGCATTCAGTTACTTAAGTCGTACCCAAACTATAAGGTTAAGTTGAATTGTCACATTAAACTTGGCATAATTTTCTTCTTCCACACATTACCGCTTGTTATACCCATTTAAATTCTTAAGTAGACTTAAGTTTCTTAGAATAAGTCTAATTGGGAAATTGAGTCTCAATTTTACTCCATAGAAACCCAACAAAAGCAAAAACTTTTATATCATTTTAATTGAACACATTTACACTCCATGAAGGAAGAGATTGGGTAAGGAAAGGCGTCTTATTATTGATTTCCACAACAAACTAAAAAATTTTATGTTGTAATGGAAATCTGAATCATTAAACTTAGCCTAACTATTTTCTTAAAAAAATTGTCTATGGATATACACTTCTAAATTTTAAATAGGCTCAAGTTTATAGGACAAATCCTATAGTCAAATTAAGTTGCAATTTTACTCCTTGTAACAAACACAACAAAAGCTATCATATTTCTCCAACTGTTCAATGCACTACAACGATGCTTGCTGAACTATCTTGAACTATCTTCCAATGCAGCATTCAAAAGCCATCCCACAAAAACATATTGAATAGCATCTAAGACTTGAAAATTCTAGGAGAAACGAAAAATAGTTTTATTAATACTTAGTATCGCCGAATCTTCATAAAAATACAACAAATTCAGATATGACAACCAAAGACGTTACAACAGGTGAACAAAATATGCCACAAACTAAATTTTTTTACTACAGGGACTATCCTTAATCCCCACTCCCTAATCAACTATATAACTCGATTTAATTTCGCTAGTAGTAGATTTTAAGCGGATGGAGGTTCTGCATTCATATCTGAAGCAGCTACCATAGGAGAAGGAAGAGACAACGGCTGCCAACCAGAAGAATGAGGTAAAATCCACTTCTTTTGGTGAATTGCTACATTTAGTATCTGAAGAACTTCACCCAAAGTGAGAGTATTTAAGCATGAACGCCTGAGTATTGATGCTGCATCATACCTGCACACACAAGAAAAATACCTGTTGAGTTCAGAAAGAATAAAAATAAAAAAATAATAAAAAAGAACCATAGGAATTTGAGAAGCGCAGGAATTTACATACATGCACCGCGAGGCCATCATGGAAGAATAGCCCTCAGTTGAAGATAGGAACTTGAGAACTGCATCACACACTGCCTTGGGAAGTCTTACCTGACTATTCATAATATTTACACAGCTCCAAAGCGATTCTCCTTTATAAATATAAAAGAGGTTATCTCCTACTTTGTGCTTAACAACAGCATGATGTTGGACAGCCAGTTCCAGGGCCTTTCTAACATCAAAATCTTGGAGGTTCAACTCCCCATAGCGAATACAATCTGTTATATTAGCTTCTGTGGGAGGTATTCTCTCTTTTTTTAATATGTGGATGGCTGGTAGGATGGTATCAATCAAATTCGGGACGACAAGAGAAGGATCGGAATGGTTCCAGACATGGTTGCCTTGCATATTATCTTGATAACAAGGTAGCTTATATTGTGGAATATTAGATTCTCTAGGATAGGAATAAAAAGCATTAGGATATTGAGTAATAGTAAGTTTACTAATGTCAGGTACAATTGGAGAAGCTGAAGAAAAGGAAGGATCATTAGGCTTTGTCGAGGGAAATATAGGAGCACTCGTCCTGGTTGACTGTGTTGAAATTGCTAGGGCATTTGGCCTTGGAGTTTCCTGTACGATGGGTGGAGCACTATGCCACGTAGATTGAGGATAACAGTTGAGCATAGGAGAACTTGAACGAGTAAAGTTCCCAAACTGTTGATAGGGTCTAGGGGGTTTTATATCTGGTGGATAAAGGGAGTGGGGACGAAAATGATTATTATTGAAATTGGTTGAGACACTCACCTTATCATTACTACGGTAAGGCTCTATTGCGCTGAGATTAGTAGATCCACATTGAAATTGGCTATTATTAAAATTGTATGGGACACTCACCTTATCATTACTACGGTAAGGCTCCAATGTGCTGACTTTAGCAGCTCCAGATTCATGAGCATTATGTTGCTTAAGATCAGGGTTTTTTGAGCTAATGCACTTGTGAGGGGAATTTACAAGTGATTGTTGTGGGATAGCTAAATAATTAGTATGTGCTTTGGGCAAAGCTTCGGTATTTGATATTGTACTGTTAGATGTCTGGCTAATTGGAGTGGAATTAGTAAGACTTTGGCTTCCGGAGTGATACTGGATACAATCATTCCTTCTGAAATTATTGCCATTTGGCTGTCTTTGAATATTTGATGCCTGTTGCTTTCCTTTGACTTGGTTGTCAGCTTCTCCATTGGCATTAGCTTTCTGAAATGCCAGATTCAAGTTGGATGAAAGGAAATCACTAGGCTTCCTTTCTTCTGCAGAACTATTTCTGTTAGCTTCTGAAGTTGAACCAATTTCATTTGTTAGAGAAGAGGATGACAATGGTGGACCGCCTGCCAGAAGATCAGTCCAAGACCATACAGTCTTGGCCGCAGTAGTAAGTGCTTGAGAGAAATAACGAGGCTGAGCTAGGAGGATGTTGTATCTCCTCATACTAAGCTGATGCAGTGCATTGGAGAAGTCACGATCCCCCGAAATAAGCAAATAATTTGCAGGCGGTTGGTTGTCAACAGCCCAAAGTAACATGTCTACTAATATTTTCTTATCACTGGCATCTTTTATACCTGCATTAGATCATCTGGAAAGTCAGCAAAAGAATTTTTTAAGTTTAATAGAATATCTACTATTTGGCATGAATGAATATGGATATTCAGACACGTGACCTATTGGTATTAGCCCTTTTCTATAAATATAGATGCTAGGGGTGCTAGGGGTCTGATTCCTTAAAAAATTTAACATATGGATACTCATTGTCTGCTTTGGTAACAGTGTAATCTAAAATATCCCTATGATATCTTCAAAAAGAATGAAATAGAAAATAAATAGGGAGGAAGAAAAGTCGAATGTTAACTGCTCTTCATTGGCTAAAATCTAACCCGTTATATAGAGGTTTATGAGGGAAAAAAAAGGTGAATAAATTAACTCTTTACTTTGTATAGCATGGGTTTGAAAGGAGCTCTTTAGCGGTTGGCAAGCTGACAGATCTTAACTAAAAGTTTTCACAAATACCAAACAAAGAAGAAAAAAAGCTCTTAGGATGCGAAAAACTTAGATGACAATATTTATAATGCGATAATATATATTTATACATTTTCTCAAGAAAAGAGATTTCTTAGCTGAAAGCAATAGCATGATTAATTTCTTTGGAAACTCTATCAATGTAGTACAAAGATCTAACCTAACTAGCACTTTCAATTATATTATCCCGAGAGTGAAAATTCACAAAATTTTGATTAAAAAGTGATTTTGTAGTTGCAATTATTTCATTATTTTGCTGAAATAAAATAGATTGCAAGAGAAATTTAAAATGAAATTCACATAAAGCTCAAAACCTATTCTAGTAATCCCTATCCCAACAATAGAAGAAAGAAATCCATCAACAATTCTGACTTTGAGGATTCCTACTGATGAAGTATAAGATGTAAGTAGATGAGAACATTCATGCGATAAGAAACTCCTTGGTCATTATTCCAGCATTTCTAACATCCCTTGAAGCAGTAAAGGTGAAGAGAAAATGTACCTTCCTATGCTAAAAAGTAGAAGTTAGCAACTCTATAGAAGCAACATGTATAACATCCAATTGCTCATTTATTCAAGGAAATGTCACAAAGGTTTTCACAATTTTCATCTTTAATCCCTCATTTTTAGTTTCATAAACATGAGTGTCTTTATGTTGATTTTTAAGGTTAATCTAATTTGTTGGCTTGTTATGAAAATTTTAATAAATTACTCATATAATTGGTCTTCATATAGATAACTGCAGAAATGTCATCTCTTTTTTATGGCTTGACTCATATCCATCCATTCTACTCAAGACTTACAATGGCACGTGTGGAATGTTTGGTACCTTGAAACATTAATTTTAGTTAATTATTTTCGCTTCAAACTTTAACAAAATCTTCTTCAAATATGGAAAGTGGACAAATCCCTATGCCGCTTCCGTGAACTTCATGAAGATTTTTAGTGAGGCTGCAAGTAAATTATAAATTATTATTTCTTCCACAAATTTGATGTATTTACTTGAGCACCATCCGTATCAATCATTTAGCTTGAAGATAACTAGTTCTTGTCAAATTTATATGAGTGGGGTGAAGAATTTAGTGACACTCATGATTCCAGTGAGGTCATGAACATGATCATACTTAGTTCAAACAATTGAGTAGAATTTTAAAGATCAAGATATGCTATGCTGACTTCCTCACGAACAGTTTCGTAGGTTACAAACCGAATATATGAATTTAAGGTGTTGTCTATAGGATGAATAGCCAGGAACTTACCAAAGAATTATTCATATCCCATGATGGAAAGAAAGGGTCGACTATTTCAGGTTGAAGGATGGTACCAATTTATGTATCCAAACTTTTCTCTTTCTCATATCACCATTTGAGTCGGGCAAGACTATTAGAATTTATTTTCATTTTATATTGTAGGAGCTAATTTCAGAAACCACAGCTTCACTAAAGCTCCAAAAATTATGGTGTGACTTGGGTGGAGGGACAACCTATATCCTCTCATTTGCTAGATCCAGTTAGAGCCTTCTTGTAATTATCTCCCATAATAATCTGTTAAAAAAGAAAAATAGAATAAGGAGAAACAAAGTGGAATACTTCTTGTTTTTTATTGGTTGCAATCTAGTCCATTAGAAAGAGATTTATGAAGAGAAAAATTTGGGAATAAATGAATATTTCATTGTAAGAAAGAAACGATACATATTGCTATAAGTTTTAATCTTAAGACCTACTTAAAAAAGAATGAATGAATCCCAAGGAAAAATCCCAATACACCCTAGCATTTGCTACCTTCCAAAACTGCATCCTCGAACTCTTCAATCCATAATCTAACTAGCCCTTGAGAAACCTCCACATGTCATTCATTCATTGTTGTAACAGCCATTCCATCTAGGGATGCCTACAACCATCACTTCAACAACCCGTTAGTTATCCTGCCTTCCTGAGAAACCACCAACAATTATCCATTAAATGTTCCAAAAATCATTTGTAGTCCTAACATTTAGAAATGAGGGAAACACAATGTCATTCAATAGATATAAATCGAAATAAAAATATATTTTCCACAAAAAGTAAAGTTTTAAATAGCTTTTCTAGGCATCCTCCAAAATAAAAACCAATATTTGAAAGAGTAGGAAACTAACCATTTCGCTACAAACTATGAGACAACAACACCCTCCCTCATGTTCCCTACCAGCTTATGAGTAATGCCTCAGTCCCTTCTGCAGGCATGTGGACTATACCATTAGAAAAGCACCAGTGAATGGCTCAAAAGAAATAGGAAGCCAAGCTTCAAATTTTGCCATTCACCTCCTGCTAGTAGCAAATCCACAAGTAATTGAAACCTCACATGCCATATATGTTCATCTTAGTAGGAGTTTTCTTTGGTTTACTCCCTCGAATATTTACATATTCAGCTCAAAATACATTTGTTGTAGTTGCAATTGAAATTCATTTGCAATCTCTCTCTCTCTCTTCCTAATGCACTCTCTGCCACCCTCTCATTTGCTCTCGTACTCTCGCCATTCTCTCCTCGCCTCACTCTCCCATCTCATCTCTTTGCTAAAAAGGAAAACAAAAATAAAATTAATTATTTGAGTAAACTTTAACTATTTTTCATCATATAAACTCATCTCTTCTTTCCAATATATTATTCATTCCCTTCCCCAACAAGAAGTCCTTAATAGTATGGTAGAGGCAGATGCATCTTATATTAAGGAATGGGGCAATTTAACACTATACAATTGTTGTGAGATTACATATTTAGATTATCATGTGAAATTTGTTAGTTTTTCAATGGAATCCATTTACGGTACAATTAAATGAAAATTTCCACCTTTATTGCCCTGAAATATGCTTTGTCCATCCAACCCAAGCAAGCATGCTTTGTTGCACCAATTCAATGTTGGTTGCAATCCATGCATGGTTGCCTACATTGGATGCAAACAAAGAACCAAGAATTGTGCCTATGTTGTGCACAATACAAGCATCCATGTTCAGGTTGGGTGTAAACAAGGCATCCTTGCCTTCGTTAAATATATCCTATGTTACTTGATGAAAAATGAAGGGAAGAACTTGTTAAGACAAGATGTCCATCATAAAAACCCATCCAGTTTTGATATGCAATATCTTGAGAAGTGGGCACTTTATGGGATTCAAAGAACTAGAAATCCAAAGCGCATTATTTTCAGCAATTAGCGATCTTACAGGGAATCCACACAACCAAATAAGCTCATTGGAAGGAGCTCTCAACAGCATAGAGAGGACATATGTAAACAGGAGGAACAACATTAAGTATGAGGGTATGTAATTAATTTACAGCCAGAGAAGTATTCATGTTGATAATAAATCAAAGAAAAGACTTATCCAAATTTTAAAAGGTCATCTATTTTTATAAAACGATCATATGATGAAGTTATTTTATAATTTTCTATTAATTGATAAAATCATCTGCAAAATTTAGATACAAATGAAAGAACAATCACTAAGTGATTACAACATGGCAATATGAAACATCCAAGAAATAAATAATACAAACAGCAATGTGTGTGTGCCTACACACACACACAAACAGTTATCGGCGCATCTATAGGAATATAAGCACAAAATACAAAGATATATTAATTAAAAATAACATTTAAAGAGAGTTATGGAGAGAGAGTGGGAAAAGAAATAATATTAATTTGGTCAAAAAACGCGTCAAAAATTGTTTGTGTAATGCCCCAAAGAAAATCAGATAAATTTAATAAACAAATACAAATTGATGCACTCTATGCGGCATGTTTGATGGGGCATCCTAGAGTACACAAGTGTTTAACATATTATCCAACATACCTTTAAAATCCATAAGTATTCATATTTCATAGATCAAAGAAGCATGGCAAGGATCAAAGAGAAGCATTACTAGGGAGCAAAGAAAAGGAACTAAAAGGTGGAAGCATTACAATAAAGCTATTAAAGTTCATTAATGATTGGTAACATCTCTCCTCTATTCATTTAGTTAATGCACTCTCTTATGTTAGTGCAGGCAATCCTCATTACCACATACTAACCTTGATTGACACCTATATCTCCCCGGTTGGCTTTAGGAATTGGAATAAAACTAATTTCATTCTATAGTCTATTTAAATATAATGGTTCTCTTAATATTCTAAATAAGTAGCCTTCTTTTTTTTGCCAATCCACGAAATATGCCCAGCCTCATGCCCTGCTGCCTCTGTATGTTTGACTCTTGCGATCCTGGCACTTGCAATTTGGCATGGGGTTTAGCTCATGAAAGCTAGCTCTCTCAACAATACATGAATCCGCACAATGCAATTGTGTTTGGCACCTTCACGCCCTATGTTATGCAGGGACAATAAAATTAAAATCAATTTTACATCTTGCCCATGAATATGGTTTGGCTGCTAAGATTGGTATGCCTCATAATGTCCACTCTAGCTAGGGCTACGATTATGCCATTCCTTTTAATTTTCAATCAAATTTCTCAACTCTCGGCAAGTTTCCCAATTTCTACTCAGAAGCTGTATCTCTTTTGTTCATGTCCTTCTCAAATA